TTTGTATTATCGGTTCCACAAGAGCGTGCCGGGGGCGATATACTTCGGCACCCCAAAGAGGGGGGGGGGGCGTCAGAGGGTCGGACGCAGGCCCGTTGGCGCCCAGGTTTGTGGGGGCGTCCCCTGCGAACTGGTGGCTTCTGGAAGTGGTCAGGCCGCGGCAATTGCGGCGCAGCGGCCATCACTTTTGGGCGCCGCAAGGGGGAGGCGCCAAGGGGTGCACCACTGGTGCGTTCGTGCCCAGATTATGGGGATATGTCAATTGACACGTTTGTCTCGGGAATATCGACGCGCCTTTTTTTAGGGCCGCGCAATCGCCGCGACGACATGGTGGCCATGCGGCTTGGGCACTACAAGAGTTAACCGCCAGGGGGCAGTACATTTGCGCGTGAGTGCCCAGATAGTGAGGAAATATCACGCGACGCGCTGGTTGTTGAGAGGTAGACGTGTCTATGTTCATTGGAGCGTGGCAATTGCGATGTGATGGCGGGTGGGGGACTTAGCCCTTGGCGCCCAGCTAACGGGAATGCCTCGAGCGGAACTCTGGTCTTCATGCTTTGATTGCGTTTATTGTTCAGGCTTGCTTGGTCGTCGCGCTGCAGCAGCCGTGGCGCCCGGGGGCCGCGGGGGGGGGGGGGGCGTTGAGGGGTGCGTCGCGGGCGCTGTCGCGCTCATATTGCGAGGATTTTTCGGCCCACCCAATTTCTTACATGCCCGCTCTTTTCCCGACGCTCGTAGGAAATAACCGCAAGGAAACCTACGCGTTATTCGGTCAATGCAAAGTAGCACGGATGGGGGGGTCAGAAGGAGGAGGGGGACGACGAAAAGGACGGGGGGGAGGAGGAGGAGCTCACCGACGCACGCATTGCGATCTCTCGCGTCGCAGCATTTGTCCTGCCGTCGCCCGCGCAGCATTTCGCTCCTGAAGACTCTACTTCCGCGGACAGTTGGCCTGTGCAGTCCATGCCCGTCTGAATCTCTTCTCCCCCCTTTCCCCGGCGCTGTCCTGCTCGTTGGTAATGTCCTCCTTTTCCCCCCTAGTTCTCTTTGGTTCCTCCGCCTTTGTGGCGCCGCGCAGATTTGGCTGGCCGCTTGGGCTTCGTGGCGCGCTGCAGTTGACAACGTTTCGCCCGCCGGGCTTCGTTTGCGGCGGCCTGGTCTGCGCTGCGTTCCAGGCGCGCGTCGTCGCTGCCCCAGGTCGCACTGTGCTGCAGCCGCGCGGTGGCCCGCTGCAGCGCGTTCCTTCCCCCCCCTCCTCGCGCCGCGCCCTTCCTTTCCGCCCCGCCCCCCCCCCCTTCCCCCCGTTTTTTTTCGGCGGATGCGCGTGGGATGGTGCCCCCTCTATTCCTTCCCCCCGCCTCGCCCGCGGCGGCGCCGACAGCGCTCCGGGCCCAGTTTGGGGGCGTCCGAGCCAGGCTTCGGCGGCCCGCTGGGGTGGGAGGCCCGGCGCTGCACCCTTGCCTTGCGGGGGGGGGGGGTTGCTGCTCATCTTCTTGGTTCGCCCGTTCCCCCCCCTCCTCGCCGGCCCTGCCCTGTCATTTAACATCGGTGGATGCGCGCGTTGCCCCCTGCTCCGCCACCAAGGTTGCGAGGAACTCGCGAGCGACGGCGCCGAGATCTTCGGCTGCGTGGTCGGGTTGGTTGGTCGCATTTGGCTTCGCCCCCGTCGTTGTCGAGTGGGAAGCCCCATTTCCGTCAAACCGTGCGCCCGCTTTGCGGGGGCGTCTCAATTGATGCCGCTGCGTTGGTCGGTTCGGTCGGCGCGGCTCTCGCCCGAATTCTTGGCAGCAGGGGCCGGTTCCCCGAGTGGGCGCGCGACGTGATGTTCATTTGGCTTACTGAAGTGACTGCCAGTTCTGCGGTGTTCGCGCAGGGTCTGCTTGGCGGAGCGGAAAATCAACTGCCGCGCCGATCGCGAACTTCCTGTGGCCTGGGCAACGCATGCGGCCATGCGGATCACGCGTCGCCCACGGCCCGCGCGCTTCGCGCAGCTCCTGCGGCCCGCGCGGCGGACGCAGTTCCCGCCCCGCGCGCGCCGCGCTCCGCGCGCGGGCGTCGCCCCCGCCACCGCGGCCCGAGCCCTTGCGACAAGGGCGTCGCCCGCTCGCGGGCGAGGATCTGACTTGTGCAGTCTGTCCCCTGTCCAACTCCTCTCCTCCTCTTCCTTATTTGCATTGTCCATTTGTTGTTTGGGTCTTCCTTTTCCCGGCGCGTCCCCCGCCGTGCCTCCGCCCCCTCGTTGCCGCGCGGATTTGACCGGTCAGTTCCGGTAGCGGCGGTTCGTCCGATCGAAGAGGGCTCGTTTGCGAGTTCGGCGCGCAGCCGGCCAACGCCGAGTAGACAGCAACGCGGGGGCTCGACCATCACGCGGGCGAGCAGGGGCGACGCTTCAGCCGCCCAATATTCTCACGTCCAGGATTGCCGCGTTGGCTCAGGGGCCACGGGCGCGCGGGAACGCCCGACAAGTATGAGACCAAACGGCGCTCGAACATAACAGGTTTCCTTAAGTTTCGGAGTCGACATATTCGAATATCAGTAACGGATAGTCGTGGCCGTGCTGTAGGGGGCGGCCCCGCTGTCCCGAACGCTGGCAAGGGCTCATTGTGCCGTTCGCGGCGGTATCGCGTGTTCTCTGTTGGGCGCCCATGGCCCCTGGTGGCCTCCAGGCGCAAGCTTGGGCGGCTCACGCGTGGCCACTGCGATCCTGCTGGGCCGCTTCACGCGAAGCCCTTCGCACCGCGTGCGACCATCAGCAAGGGAACATCGCGCTAGCTCTTCTTGAACGCGATTTCAGACACGCGCGTGGGATTTTCGCGCCCCCCCAAGGGGTTGCGGGGGGCCCGATAGTTACAGGCCCACTGCTTAACCCAAGCCCGACGACGAGCCTTCGCGCCTGAAGTCGCCTACGGGGGCAGCAACAGGCCGACCGACAATGCGGGGGCCTGCAGCTAGGGGGGGCCAGCGTCACCAGGCCCATCGGCACCTGCCAACATGGAGAGAGGTCAAGTCGAAGGGGCGCCGCCCGATTCTCAGGGCAAGGCGAAACAGGCTCATCGAAGCAAACACAACAGCTGGGACGTTAGCTACGCCAGTGATTTTGCCGGGTGTGAACCTGTCTCGGCGGCGCCCCGTGCAGAATCGATCGCATTCCGTTGGCGCTTCAGCTCTGAGAAGAACCCCAGCTGCAGGAGGCTGACGACAGCGCTCTACGGCGACCTTGACGTGGACTGCAAGGACATTGCGACGCGCGACCACGGCAAACTGCCCGAAGACATCGACCTGCACACCCGCGGCCCTCCGTGCCAAAGCTGGTCAAAGGGGGGCTCATAAAATGGACCAGCTGATCCCCGCGGGAACTTTTGGCTGCAGACCGTGCCGACCATAGAGGCAGCACAGCCCAAGTCTTTCCTCCTGGAGATGGCTCCTGGCATCGCGAGCGCTGGGTTCGCTGAGGTGCGGGGGTGTATCCTCGCGTGCCTTGGAGACTGCGGCTACGAGGTTACTTGGAAGAAACTATCTACGTCTGAATTCGGATGCCCCCAAGACAGGGGCAGGATCTATATCGTGGGTTTCTAGTCCGACTTGAAAGCTGCCAGCGAGGAGTTCAAGTGGGCCGTCTTCACTGGCGCGCAAAGATGGTGCCGGGCATCGCCGGCTCACCGGACCCAATGCGGCAAGCGAAATCGCGCCGTCTACCTCCCGAGGAAAATGGCCGAGCTCGCAAAAACGTAGTTGCGTGCATCAAGGACACTGCCGCATAACACCCTGATGAGGCCGATCTCAAGGTGATCCTCTGGAAAGACATCGTCGTCGACATCGGCAGCGCGACCGAGAGGTTGAACTGCGCGATTGCCTCGCGTCCAACCCCATCGCCGCCAACCGCGGCGCTAGCATGGGCTACTGGTTCGTTTCTCAGGGGCGGCAGGGCACTATGGGCGATCTCGCCCAGTTCCAGGGCCACAGCAAGGGCAACTTCAACATCGCGATCAAAGAAGCGAAGGTCAGCGATACCCGGGTTGGCCACATTAGGGGCACAGCAATGTCTGCAGATGTCCTGCGCCCGCTCGTCAAAGGCATTATCGCCCATATCTGCGCGCGCCCAGCAGCTCCGTGAGAACCTCGCGACGGCGCAGCATCAGTCAGCGCTTGCAGCGCCGCGCGCGGGGAGCGGCTCGTTCGACGCACTGGTCGGAAACGCGCGCTAAGTCATCGATCGCCGCGTTTGCCGCCGGCACCTTCATCGCCATCATCATCATCATCACCGGCATCATCATGATCATCATCATCATCATCATCATCACGCCGATGGCCGTGGCCTGCCGAGAAATCCCTTAGACGAACCAATGCGCCGCCGCGAAGGCCCGAGAGGGGGGGGCCATCGAAAAGGCCCGAGATCGGAGAGCATGCGCCGCAATTTCGAGCTCTCCGCGCGCAGACGCCCAAGAGGGCACCAAAACGGCCCCTGGGTGAGCCAAAGAAACCCCGAATAAGTTCCCACGGCGCCCCGAATAAAGCCCCCAAGAGGCTCCAGAATTGCTCCCCAGAGGCCTCGGATCCCCCCGCAGAGGCTTCAGAAGGCACCCTGCCCCATTACTTCGGCACGATGGCGGGATAAGCCACAGGCAATCAGATAATGAGAGGGCCCAATGAGTTCTGGAGCATGAGCGAACGTTGAATTGGAAATTGCAATTGGCGAGGATGTCTCGAATGCCGTGCCCGGCGAAGCTTGGGCCCCGGAAGGAAGAGCGGGGGCGAGGGGGGGGCGGGGGGGGAGGGGGCAAGGGCGAGAGGAGTCGGATCCAGCGACGCCTGAGATCTCCAGGGTTTGGACGCAGGTCGTTCACCCACTGCTTTGTTCTGACAGGAACCTCCACCTCCTCCATTTCCCAACTTCCCCCGACTCCTCCGCGGCCACTTCGGCTCGACTGAGCGCCCGCGTATTTCTTGCACCGCAATCACACGGCGTAATATGGTAGTGTGTTGTCTTCTGCGTTGCCGAGGATCTCGGCTGATCCCGTGGAATATATCAACGCCGAGTTCATCGGCCACGTGACGGACGCGCTAGACTTCGCGCAGGGCCACGAGGTCTTCAAGCCGATCGCGCCCAACTCTGATGAGGGGCAGCGCCGCGCCGCACAGGGCGAAGAGGGGCCGGGCCAGCCCGCGTTCACCATGGATGCCTTCACGCGCGACTTGGCCCGCGGTGGGGGGCGCACTTGCGTCGCCAGCGAGTGGAACTTGAGCCCGTTCTACACCCTGCATGGCGGCGCGCCGCGCAACGAGGACAAGATTGCTGAGCTCGAGCACGCGCGCTTCCGCGAGCCCGTTTTCTACGCGGGCGCCGCGTCGGGCATGGTGGATGACCTCTCGGTGAACCCGATGGCGGTCAAGGGCGGCTGGCAGCGCCCGTCGCCGGAGGTGGCATTTTTCGCTTTCTTGTTGGCCATCAAAGACGCCATCGACAGTAGTGAGCCCGAAGAAACTCTCATAGCGCACAGCCGGGACATCCTGGCGACGACCGTGCAGGTCGAGCTTCGCAAAGGGAAGGACAAGACGACAGCCTGGTTTCGCAGCATCAGCCTCAGGGGTCAGATCATGTCCGAAGCCGCTGCAGTGGGCCGCGATGCGCTTCGGCGTATCTGCGAGGCTCCGAGCACCACTGAAAACACGTGCCATCCTCTCCTGATTGTTCGGGCTTGCGTATCCCAGGGTTCCTGAGTGTTCGGGCTTTCGGATTCCAGGGTCCAGTTTTCGGCGTTGCGCTCCTAGCAACTTATGGAATAGGGGCTTCGACGCCGTGGATTGCGATGGGCAAGTTTCAGCGGCGCCCTCGAGGTCATGCAGACTCGCGCCAAGCTGGCTGCAACGCTGCCCGAGAAGAAAGACCCCACCCAAAATGCACCCAACGCAAAAGTCCTCGAGCGGCACGCCGAGCAGGTAGCGTTGAACAAGAGGGCGGAGCCCGCCAACTCTAGCTTCATTGAAGCCACGGGCCCAGTCGGCAATCGCATCGTTAAGAACGAAGCCAACCTGAGCGCCTCCCGGAAGGCCATCGCGAAGTGGGGGTGGTGGGGGGGGGGGGATGGCCCTTAGAGCGCGTGCAAGCTAGACCTGATCGCCACCAGATGCAACAAGGATGAGAAGCTGAGCAAGTGGGCGCTCCATGCGATCATCGACCACTGCTTGAAGGGCACCCCTCATTGTGGCGAGGTCACTTACAATAACCTCAAGGACGGCATCGGGGGAAACAAATGTTTGGGCGTGCTGATTCTGAAGGGGCAGCTCCAGGGCCACTTAAATCATGACAAGTATTTGCTGCGCGCGGGAGCCCCAAGCTGTACTGCCCTATGCCCATGATGCGTTCTTCAAGCCACGCCGTCTACAGGCTGGAGGTGGATCCGCTGAGCGAGGAGCGCGACATCGACGCGAGCTGGAAGATGTCTGCTGCGGCCTCCAAGAAGGCCGTGTTCCAGTTGACAGAGGATTGCGGCATAGGAAACATGTGCCCCACAATTACTCGGTCGACGCGCATCCCCGCCCTTGTCCCGAGTTTGTGTTGGGGTGGACGTCGGCTGTGTCACCTGTGGACCGCGTGATCCGACTCGGGATATGGTGTTCTCTTCCGACTACGACTCCCAGATGTGCCATTGCTGCCGCGAGTCGAAGAGCATCGAGGAGGTGATGGAGCATAATGGGATCAAGAAAAACATCGATAACGTCTGGGAGGCCCAGGCGACCACCCAAGTGTCGACGAAGCGGAAGGAGAAGGATGAACCGGAGGCCTGCGGTGCGGCGCCAGTCAGGAAGCGCCGGAACGTCGACCAGAAGGAGGAGGGCGCGATGGTCAACCCCATCGTTGGAGGATCCTGCTGACAAGCATGCCACTGACGAGTGGTATTACAAGTGCGACAAGAAGAAGGTCTTGGATAACATGAAGCTGGTCTGCGACCTAGGGAAAAGCGAGGCGGCCTTGCAGACAACCGTATCCCAGACTGCGGTCGGCACCGAGGAAGGCGACGTGATAGGGCGTGTCCTGATCCACGTGGACGTCGCGCTGAGTGGATATCCCGTCGCAGCACCTCATTTCCGGACTGCTCCATGCCGTGAGGGACAGATGTCTCGTTTGCTGACCGCTGTGATCAGCGCGATGCGCAAGAGCATTTCGGACTCTAAACGCTAAAGCAAATGAGACGTGTACATGTACCTCGACGGTGGCAAGAAAGGCTGGATAGTTTGAACCTTCTTCTCTCGCGGGCATCTAGGGGACTCAGGATGCGTGTGTTTTTTTCCCGGGGGGGCTCGGGGCATCTCACGGGGCTCGGGGCATCTCGGGGGCCCTCGGGGACTCGGGGCGCTCCGGGGCCCCTGCGCGTCTGATCTGTAGACTCGAACAGGGTTTGGCCGATCCCATGTGCAAGGGACCGGGGGCCGCATCAACAAGATCATGGTCGCCGCGGAGGGTCGCTGGAAGGTTGCGCGCCAGTCCGCGGGAATTTCGAGGAACGCTGCCAAGTTTTTGTTCGAGGAGTCGAGTTTGAAAGACCGCAGAGCTCTGGCCCGCGGGGCGCCTGCGCTCAGGCAGCTTGAGACGACGCACTTCTACCGCGTATCCAACGCCACCGTGCCGGAGATTCAACGCTGCGCGTGCCGTGGCTCCAACGGCAGCGGGAACGTCGCGGCCCCCGTCTCGTTCGAGTCATGGGAGTCCAGCTGGGAGATGACAGTCTCGGAGAATATTAAGTTCTACGGGCCGAACCGCAAGCCAGTAGGGGGCGAGACTCTCGAGGGCGAGGAGAGGAGTGGCGACGAGAGCGGCTCCGAGGGGTGGCGCCAACGTAGACATTATCGAGAAGCCTGAGTTCGACGCGCCGCTCGTCGGCGGGGGCAGGGGCAGCGGGGCCAGCGTGCCGGCGCGTGCTATTGCGTGAATCCAACGAGGAGTTCACGTCAAGCTATTGCATCAAGAGTGATCGACCGAACGCCCGGCAATGGGAACTTCGCCCCCACTGCATCCAGACTGGCGTCGGATTTTTTGGAGTCTGCTTCCAGAACGAGGAGCGCAAGGCAATGCTGACGGGGCACCTGATCAAAGAGTACATGATCTTCATGAAGACCGAGGGTAACAACCACTACCGCGCAGGCTACGTGAAGCACCTCCTTGGAGGACCATCAGCGGGGCCGACGGTGGCGACGAGCCGAGAACGGGCCGCCGCCGCGGCCGAGAAGGCGACGGCGCCCGCCACGAGGAAGGCCGCAGCGGCGAAGAAGAAGACCGCATCAGCAGAGGGTGAAGATCCCACTGGGGCCCGCCGAATCTGCCGATGGTGGCGACGACGAGGTCGCGGCGGCAGCACCGGGGACAGTGGCAGCAGCGTTGAACGACGTCGCGCGAGCTGCTGGCAAGCGCCGGCAGCGCGCAGTATATATATATATGTCCAGGCGACTAGGCGCTAGGATTTCATCGCAAGTTTATCGACCACTAGCCACTTGTAGCTCGCGCTGGATGCAATGCGACTGGGCTCTGGGGGATCTGGGGAATCAGGCGCAGATGTTCGGCTCGGTGGCAGTCGCAGTTGCAGAAGCATGTCTTAGAGTGCGCCTGGTCGCGCATGGTCGCATGAGGCTTAGCACCAGCGGGCAGGCAGACCAGGCAACATGTCGATGCGTGCAATAGATACGTCGACATCGACCCCGCGCCCTTACTAGGTAGTTACATGTTCATCGAGTCAGACGGCGCGAGATTCAAATCGAAAGGTCGGCCCGTTGATAGAGCGTGAAAGTACAATCCGCACCATCCACCTTCACCGCTCCACCCCCCCTCTTCCTCCTGGCACGTGCCCCGAGAGTGGGCAGCGGGTTTAGCATTATTGGTCCTCCTCCTCCTCCGCCCCCTCCCCCTCCTCCTCGCCATTCCACCCGATCGCCGATCCGCCCCGCTCGCTGCATCGCCCCTCTGCCCGCGCTACCCTTCGATCCCCATGCGCTCGGGGCTGCCAGCTGATGCCCCTGAACGCATCGCCGTGAAACTTCCCCCCCCCCTCGCCATGTTCAATCGGCTTCATGATGAATAACGTTCTTTGGCTCGAACAGTGTCCTGCGATCGCTGTGCATCATGTGGGCATGCATGCTGCCGCGCGCCACTTCCCGCCGGGCCGACCCATGGACCGACCCCCTCAACCGCGCGCTCGCATCAGCCGCGGTTGTGGTCTTGAGTGCTCCCCCAGTCTGCCCGGCAACGGTCTTGGCGACGGGGTCATTCGGCCGCCATCGTGGAGTTCGTGCGCCGAGTTCTGGGACCCAACTGCCGGAAGAGACTTTCACGTGTCGCGCGTGCTCAGGGCGGTGCCATGCGTGCCCCGTGGCATCCTCGCGCGCGTGGAGTGCGGCAACTATGCGAAGGTTTGTTGCCCGCGATCGCTTCGTCGTGAGAAGCGCCCTGGTCGCGCTGATCGCCCGCCATGTCGCTCGGCTGTGCTGCGCAGGATGAGTCGGGGGGTCTCCGCGCTGAGCGTCGCCCGAGTGGCCGCGCATAGCCAGACCCCGATCTTCGCGGCTTGTCCGGCGACTTGGAATTTGCACTGAACAGCTCTGCGCTTGTGGGCGCCAGCGCGCAGACAGCTTACCGCAGAAGCGAAACGCATAGGACAAGACAGGGGTGGGGGAAGTGAAGGGCGAAGGGCAAGGGGGAGGGAGACAGATAATTGGGGGATGATTGGAGGGCGGGGCGGGCGAGGAGGGGCATGGCGAGCGTCTTGCAGACGTGCTCATCTGCGCTTTCGGAGCTGCGCTAGCATCGCGATAGAGCAGGGGCGAGGGGGGGGGGGGGGAGGAAGAACCGACGAGCGAGGAGGGAAGTGAAGAGCAATATCAGGCTCAGCAAAATGAGACGCCGGCGTCGCCCGTCGAGACCTGGCCCGCCGCGTTCTGACGAGCTCGACGCCTGGACAGACGCGGCGAATTAGGCATGTTCCCCAGATCAGGTCCCGCAACAAGCTCGGGGGCTGTGATCTACGAGATATCCCTGTTGAAGTCTATAGGCAATCGTCGTCTTGTTGAGCCAGAGTGGTAAGCGCTACCACTCTGGCCCAACAGGGCGGCGAACTCACGCGGGGCCTGGAGGTCAGAAGCACCCCGGGACCTCCCGACAATCTGGAGCGCTAAGCATCCACGCCCGGACACTCTAGCGTTAACGGCCCACCGTCCGACGTCTCAACGTTACCACACCTCTCAACGCGACCAGGCTTCCCAGGATCCTCGGCCTCCGAGGGCTCGCCGCACGAGCGCAACCGGACGCCCCGGAATCTGGGGAGGTTGGTCGTGTAGAGAGCGTATCGCCCCTCTCAACGCGACCAGGCGCCCCGGAATCCTAGGCCTCCGATGGCTTACCGCACGTCTCAACACGACCGGACGCCCCAGAATCCGGGACGTTTGGTCGCGTTGAGAGGCGCGGTAATCCCTCGACGCGACCAGACTCCCAGGATTCTGGGACGTCTGGTCGTGTTCAGAGGGGTTCTCCCAACGCGACTGGACGCCCCGGAATCCGGGACGTCCGGTCGTGTTGGGAGGTGCGGTAAGCTCTCCAACGCGACCAGGCGCCCAGGATTCTGGGACGTCCGGTCGTGTTCAGAGGCGTGGTAAGCTCTCGACGCGACATCACCAAATATTCGGGGACGTCCAGTCGCGTTCAGAGGTGATGCGCCCAAGATTTCATGACGTCCGGTCGTGTTGAGAGATGTGGTAGCGTCAAATTATGGGACGTTTGGCCGCGCTGATAGGCGAAACCCGGGACGCGTGGTCCGTGTCGAGGGGTGTGGTAGGCATCCCTGAATGTCCTATAGCTATCGTCGTCTCCCAGGTGCCAGAAATTATTGAAGTCGACTGCCGTTCGAGCCGCCCGCGCCACGTGATTTCAAATGCCTTCAAGAAGCCCCCAGAGGTCCCCAATAATCTCCACGCTGAGCAACAAGGACTCACCAAGAGGCCCAAAGGAAGCCGCAAGAAACGGTCCGTTGCGAGGTTTCAAACCCCGCAACGGACCACGCCTTCTCGCGAGATCCTAACGAGCATCTCAAGACAAAATAGGCCGATGTAGCCCAGGTGATTGATTCAGCGATATCGGCGGACGCTTTCATAGGGCGGCGAGGAGATTTCGCGCAAAAGCAGACGGCCCCCGTCTCTCTGGAGCTCTCGCGCAACTGTCTCCCATGGAGCTCTTGGACCACATCTTGAGGTCGGCGCGCGCTCTGACCCCCCCGCCCCAT